AGTCCTGGGTGAGAAGAAGACCCTGGCACAGCGAGTAGGGAAGGAGCTGTCAGAGGTCATCGGGAAAGTAAGTGAAGATGTTGTTGTGGTTCTGAACATCATCTCCAAGGTGCTGCCCTTGCGCTTCCTGCCAGTGCTTCTTAACCTGCTCAGAATCTTCCCTCGCTACTTCTCCCGGCTGAGTGGCAAGGACCGGGACACTATTGCCCGAACCATGGCAGAAGAGATGTTCAAAGAGGAGGACTATTTCAATGATGATGTCTTGGACCAGATCAATTCCAGCATCCTGGGTGTGGAGGGCCCCATGCGCCACCCCGATGAGGCCTCTGATGATGAGGTCTTTGAACTCTTCCCCATTTTCATGGGTGGGATCCTGTCCCGCCGTAATCGCGCCATCCTGGAACAGCTGGGCTGCTCCATCAAGAACCTGGCAGCCTTTGAGATTGCCAAGGCCATGAAGAAGACGGTCATCAGGAACAGTCGCAAGGGGCTGCCCCCATCTGAGCTGATGGACTACCTGTTCTTCCTGCATGAGTTCCAGAATGAACGCTTCACGGCTGAGGCCATCCGCTCCCTCCGGACCGTCAACCTTTCATCTGTCAAGATGACCCCTCTGAAGTGCTCTGTCCTGGCGTCTGTCATGCGCACCACATGCCATGAGGTGGAGGAGCTGAACTTGACCTCCTGCAATCTTGACACCAGCAGCCTGAGGACCCTCTTCCCTGTCCTGCTGCGGTGCAAGGCTCTCCAGTGAGTACCGCCTCCTCCCGCCCTTGGGCAGCACTCAAAAACCTGGGCTTGCCCTCACCTCTGCCCAGCTCAGGGACCACCAGGAGCTGGAGCGTGGCAAAAGCAGGAGGAAGGCATGCATGCCCTTGTTTATCCTCAGTGCAGGCCGTGGGGACTACAGCTTCCAATAGGCAACACTCCCTGAGCAGCCTTGCTAGGCACTGCATGCTGGGACTTGGAGTCCCAACACACCCTGCAGTGGTACTCCTTAGGCAGCTCTCTCCTGCATTTGGCACCACAGGCTGGCCTGCTGGCTTCTCCGGCAGGCCCAGGTCTCTCCCGTTGCTTGGGAGGGTCTCGATGCCCAGAAGCACCCAGCATCCCTGTGCAGCCAGCTCTGCCAACTCTGGGCAGGAGAGGTGCCGGCAAGAACGGGCATCGTGACTGTGCAAAGGAATGGCAGTTTTTTTCAGTCCATTTGTGGACCTGCAGTCTTCCCGTCACCCAGGGGGTGGCGAACCACACTCAGTAGAGATGGACTCAGCTGTACAGCTGCGCTGGGCAGAGCTTCCTTCCTCCGGATGCTCCGGAGGGCTTGGTAGGGTCCTGCTCCCTCCTCAGACCTTCCCCTGCCACCCACGGGCCCTGGATCCCCTTTCCCGGCCCTGCTTCTGCTGGCACTGGATCTGCTGGCTGATGCTACTCAAGCTCTGGTGGGATCGTGGGTGCAGTTGCTGTGTGCTCCCTTTCGGAGAGGAAGCCTTGCCTAGACTTCTCTAGGGATCCCAGGGGGGATGGGGACAGTGAGGGCAGGAGAAGGCCAGGGCAAAAGGAGAGGGCAGGGTGCCAGCCCCACAGATAACAGCCTGTTTGGTCCTGCCATCCCCCTCTCTTGCTCCGCATCAGTTTGCAGCTGAACAACCTGGGTCCTGACGCCTGCAAGGAAATCCGTGACCTGCTCCTGCACGACAAGTGTGTGGTGAGCAACCTGCGGTGAGTACACAGCAGGGAGCGAGGCATTGCCTCTGTGTTCCCATGAAAATGTCCCTGCTGCCCGCCCTGCACCCTGGGCTTGGGCTCCATGCCCAGCCTTGGCCGTCCCCCTGAGCTCATCTGTCTGCAGGCTGGCAAATAACCCCGTGGGCGAGCAGGGAGCACAATTCCTGGCCGAGGCGCTGGCAGGCAACCGTTCGCTGACCCACCTGTCCCTACTGCACACTTCGCTGGGGGACCGGGGCGTCGAGGTCATTGCTCAGCACCTGGCCAAGAACCAGCACCTTCAGGAGCTCAACCTGGGCTACAACTCGCTGACGGACGCGGCCGCCCTGGGGCTGGGGGAGGGGGCCAAAAAGCCCACGACACAGTGCAGTGAGTTCCTCCTCTCTTCTTTCTCACGGGCAATACATCCAACCCAGCATGTCCCAGCTTAGCAGTGGAGGCTGGGAGCCCCTGTCTGCTTCTGCGTGCTGTCCCCCAGCCCTCACAGTGTCTCCCTGCCCTTTTTCTCCCAACCTGCAGCCTGTACTTCAACGACATCAGCGAGGAAGGCAAACGGGAACTTCACACGCTGCGCATGGATCAGGACGGTGTCAGGGCGCTGGTCTTCCTTACAGCAGGCACCGACGTCTCTGACTACTGGTCCAACATCCTGAGCATAGTGCACAAGAACCTGCCTTTCTGGGACCGTGAGCGGGTTCGGCAGCACCTTGCCCTCCTCCTACAGGACCTGGAGAGCAGCCGGAGACAGACTGCCAACCCCTGGAGGAAGGCCAAGTTCCTGCGAGTGGAGAGCGAAGTCAAGAAGATGCTTGGGAAACTGCGGGACGGGAGCCTCTAACCTGCCGACCGCCTACCTGGCCAGAGAAGGAGCAGCGCTGCTGGGGAGCAAACGCTGGAGGGTGCCCTGGGAGCGCTACATCTGCGCCCTTCTCCTGGTGGAGATGCCCCCTAGTCGAGTGCTACCGAGGCTGTCAAAGTTACTGGGTACGTGGAGCTCAGCCCCCACCTATGGGGCAAGGCTCAAATGTGGGAGAACTGCCAGCAGACCAGGCCAGGAGCAAACGGGACTTGCTCCGGGCTTGGAGAGACCCACGGCCACAGCCCCGGCGCCTCGGCCACTGCTGGCGCGTGACGTGAGCAGGGCAGGACTCAGCCTTGCTTGTGAAATCCTTGGAAGCATTAAAGTGCCCCCCCGTTGTTTCCACTGAAGTATGCTAGCGCCAAGACTCGGTCTCCTCTCCGGGCCCTTCCCGGGGGAGGAATGCGGAGGAGCTGGTGCGCCCGTGCCTGCTGCGGCAG